GGCTCTATTCTGGTTTTAGATTTCCTGGCGTTTTGTACTTTGGGGCTCTCATTTTTATCTTCTGTTTGCGGGCTAATTAAGGTGACATCCCTTGAATCGATTTACTACCTGTTTCGTTCATTATTTTTATGGTAGGCGGGTGTGGAGGAAATCCATGTTCATGGGTACTCAGTAAGCTTCCATCGTATTACGAGGATAATATGAATATCTTCTTTGTTCGTCTTTTCTACGTGTATTTAGCGTTCGACGACAGTATTATGACTTGGGCGGGCATTTGCACAGGAGAGAATCGGATTTCTATTTGAATGATTATTACGATGCATTATAACGTGTTTAATACTAAAGATATTAGGAGTGCAGAGACTCGGGGATTTTCATGTGTCTAACATCATGACAAATAGCGTGCATCAGGTTAGGTGTGAGCAGATATACTCACCGAAGACATTGGCTTTGGGTTGAACTGTAACTGTATCGTTTGAAGTCTGTTGATGATATGCGCATTATGGAACTTTAGTAGATATAATAATAATAATAATGATTTACTTTATTCCAAAAGCAGTACTTTTGATACAGAATGGAATGGAATTTTCAGCATTGATCACAGTATTGCATCTAATTTCCTCAAATTATAAATAAAATTAATCACACAGAAAATTTTCCACATTTATAATAGAGGAAGCGTCAAAAACATCCATGGTCCGTTTCATCAGTTCAATTTGTAAACGATAACAGAAGTGAGAAGTAAGAGATCACTGGATTTGAAAATAATGACTGAATTATAGACTTACTGGTGTCATAACCAAGAGAATCTGTTTAGAAGTTTGGACTGATGTCTAGAGAGGGGCAACCCTAGTTATACGGCAGTGCCAGACGTCTCTCAGTGGTCTCCTCAGTGAGTGTCCAACCCATCTCCATTTCATTCAGAACATCTCTTGAGCAATATGTTATTGATTGTTCGTTTCCCAGAGTTCTCTTCGGCTAATTCCTGGGCATTCGATTTTCAGTATAGTGTCAGCGAAGCCAGAAACTGATTAAAGCCTGAAACCTGTAAGAAATGCTTTTCGTGACGTCTTAGCCATGTTTCCACCCATACAATAGAACTGAATCATTCAATGACCCACTAAATTAACTTTGCTGTCGGAAATCCGAATTCTGTTGTTTATGCTGAATTGAATGCAGATGATTCTCAAACTGACTTCAGAGCGATGAAGTTCTGTCTTGCCTATCGAATCGTCGTTGGTGTCGACATCCTCATCCGTGATGTCCTCTGTAGTTGAAATGATGATTGCTGGCCAGATAAGGGACAGAAGTGACCACTTTCAAACTTCTCACATTGATAATGATTGTTGTTGGTTGTTGTTATTGTTACTGTTGTTGTTGTTTGGTTGACCTCATCACCCCCGTCTCTTCTACATCCACTTGAAATTTTGTCTTCTCTGTGAGTTTGTCCTTCCAACTTGTTGGTTCTCTCCTGTAACTCATCGTCAAGGGCTACGTCTTCTATAGTCTTCTTGTCGGTTCAACATATTCTCCACGCACTGTGTGTCTGATAATCCAGTCCATCACAATTGGGATTATCATTGTTGGTAGTAAGCAGCCTTATTTGACTCCTGTTTTCAATTTATACGCCTCTCATTAATAAAACTATCAGTATTACTATTATTATGATCACCATTACTATGAACATTCTCACTCCGAACTATTTCCACTTGTCCTACTTGTCATTCTAAATGCCCCAAAAAGTGTTTTTTCACACTATTGAATTTTATCTCATCAAATTTCACACTATGTTATGTAACGTTTCATATTCACTTACTAACCCTATAATTATGCATATCCCTTCCAACATCTAAACTTCCCATGAACTATTCCACATATGAAATTGTTTTGCCATTTGACACTTGATATTTGACTGTGATTATAATCACAAATATTTGAATTGCATCGGGCACTACTATTATTATTTTGTGTATTCAAGCGTATGTTTAGATTTCCTCACAGGATATGATTTGTTAATATTATATATATATATATATATATATATATATATAATATTAACACATATTGATGATAAATTCGTTGTTTGTGAGAGTCTTTCAGCGAAAAATTCATTCTATACTACAAATGTCGAAACCAAATTCACTTATAATAGGTTACAGGATTTCATCATGAGATGATATTGGATGGAGAACCATTTGAAAATCACCAGGATGCAGTGGAGAGCTCTTTCGTCAGCCTAGTTTTTAAATCTTCATCACTATGCACCCGTCGGGGTTTGAACCCAGGGGTTCACCCTGTGATCAGAAGGTGCTGAGTTCGAACTGTTGTTGGGGATTTAGAATGACAGGTGGGAAAAGTGGAGATGATTCAGGCTGAGAATGATAATTGTAATGGTGATCATAATAATAGTAATACTGATAATTGTAGTAGTGAGAGAAAGGTATATAGAATAACTAAATCAACAAAATAAATAAATGTCTATCTCTATATGGCCAAGGAGGAATTAGGCATTGTACATACCTATTTTGTACTCAAAGGTCTGAATGGCTTGAATTCATGATCGCCCATGGCCTCCACTGGCTTTGGAAGTTTAGAACAAGGAAAATGAGGCCAGAAAGTTATCATGAATTCGATAGAGTGACATGAGTCGACCAAATATTCTAGAATAAAGCTTCTCACACCCTTCCTTTCTCCCTTGTAAAATCATGCTGCAATATATACTCATATCTGTGTTGAGAGCGTTCTCTGGTTACGGCCAACATACCTTACTTCACCGGAGCAGGTAAACTGTGAATAATGCACATGGAGGCGGCCAGACGACGGAGTTTATCTTTTATAGAGATGGAGAACAACTTACGGCTGGTGAAAGTCATTTGTAATTTTGCAGGGAAGAACTTTTTACTGACTCACTGCACTAGACAGACAATTTTTGAGCAGATCTGAGGGGTGGTGACCTCTGAATTCCAAGTTGATGAATATGGTTTTCTTCGGAAATGAGTCGGTGGCCAGTTTGCACTGGTTACCTTTATGTTTTTGTTAATAAATCGGTTTGGGTAACCTCTTTCTGCGGGCGTGGCTTTCAGGAAGGAAAATTGTGGGTCAAAAAGGCTAGAACTACAAACATAGAACATTCAGTGGTGACAATGATTCAAACATGTATAATGGTATATATACATACTACTGATTGCTCTCAGTAGTTAGAAGCCTTCCGTGTCAAACAATCAGGGGTTAACCAGTAGACTCAAAGTGATGTAAACACTGGATAACCATTTTGATGAACACCTTCTCGAAATTGAGGCACGCCGCACCCTTGATCACCTCAGTATCAAACACTGGTCATGCATCCTACCGTCTGTCTGTCTGTTTTCGACATAGAACTCTGCACATATGTGCACCAGTTCAAGTCACCACACTCCCTCCATGTAGCACACAAAGCAACAGAAGAAAGTAGAAGGAACGCATAATAGAGACAGTAAACAGAGGTGTGAGACAAAGGAATAGTAATAACTAAGAACAATATAGTTTCATTGGAAATCATAAGTGACAAGGAGTGGATGCATCTGCACCAGTCATTGAGAACGATTTTGAGCCATATCACCAATTGTTTCCAACCATTAGTTTTTACCGTACCAAGGACCCCAACCAGGAAGCCTACCCTATCCTTCGTGACTGGCTTAAACTAACTGTTGTAGATTTCATTGACTGATGAAGCCATGTTTTGGTTTCGACTACCACTAACTAGCTCTTTTCCAACCTGTCCCTATGTCAGCTAACATTCCCCATTGTCGAGGAAGGCGATGACTAGACATGCATACGTAACACATGTCTTAACCATCTCAATCGATTTAATTTCACAGCTTTGTCCATTGATTTCCCCTCCCACCAGCCTAGCATTCGACCCACACCTAAACTCAATATTGCTCACCTTATTATACCACTTCACACGGGAGATAGAGCGCAGGCACCTATGATCAAAGACAGCTAGCCAGTCTTTTCATGTCTTCCACTGTCAATGACCAGGTCTCACCAACAGCCATAAAGAAGGACGTAGCGGACTGATGAGGAGTACACCCGCCTTTTGGTCGATAGCCGGTGTTGATGTCACTCTAGTCGGTGTAACAGGCACTACTGCTTTACGAGACTGGTGGTGGCTACCGACTACTCATATCATTTAGGCAGTATATATACATATATATACCATGCTATTCAATTTGTCTTTTTCTAGCTTTCTTTTTTTGTGTTTGAGAATATGATTTACTGCGTTAAATAAATTTGCTTAAAATGAACAGCTCTGAATTCATTAGCTTCATTTTTTCTTCTTTTTCTTGTTGTTGTTGATACATGACACTGACTCCATCGACATAGATGATCACCAGATGGTTATTATGAAAAGTAGATCATGCCATCACTTCAAAGGCTTTTGATGTGATTCGAGTGAAGTCAACCAACCAGACTACTGATTCTTACATTATCAATTTTGACAATTATGATATTTAATGTATACTTTCGTTTTTAATGCAACCAGAAATCTCAAATTCTAATTACACTATAAATTATACGGTAAACTAATTTTTCAAATATAAAAAAAAACGAAACATTTTTGCAAATAACAACACATAGTATGGTATTTCTATGCACTTTAATTCTCATGAAGTAATAATGAAGTTGTATTAATAGTATTAATATACATAATAATAATAGTAATGATGCCATAAGTAATACACTATACACTATTAGCATTAGCATTAGAATTATAATGGATGTTTTTGAAATTAGGTCAGACATTATCTTAAAATATCATAACTTAATGTGTTGTTTACATATACTGAATGACAATAGTTTACGGAATTGTGTAACCATCTCTTATTTTCTATCAATACGATTGAATAAGATCACCCTGCTCATATATAACACACCCACACAAACAGATATACACACACTGAATATATATATATATATACATCAGAATGCTGGGTGATGTAATTTCTCACCATCGCAAGATGATGTTACCATCATTACTATTATTAATAATACTTTCACAATGTAATACAGAAAATAATGCAGCATATTCCCCAACTGCTTCTACAGATACCTTTAAAACGCCATCTTCTCCAGAGCTTGATCCAGTCAATAAGGCAAATAACTATGCGTCAGCGATAACTAAAGATGATTCTAAAAATGCAGTCAATGTGTCTTATGTTATCTTACCGAATCAACTGTATTTAGGCCAAATCAATTTAATTACTGTACGAAGTCGTCAACCAAGAACTCGACTCAGTATTTCAATGAATTTGACTGGATTGTCAAAACAGTTGAAGATCAACGCGTCTACAAGTTACCTCGACTGAATATATCTGAAAATTGGTATGGTTTAGATATTGCATATCAAATTCCTTTTATCTTTCATCGTCATGAATCTATTTGGGTTAAAATGATATTTAATTTTAATCACTGTTATAAAAATGATGAAAGGCAACGAGTTGATGATATGCATGACAATGACGATGGTGATGATCAATGTATCAATTATAAAACTACTGAAGTTGTACAGTCTGTTCAGTTAAAACAATTACCAATTATTATTATTGGTGAAACTGATAAACCTTTGTATAGACCTGGTGAGTCTGTAAATTTTCGATATTTAGCGCTAAATATGAAAACTTTATCACCGAAGTCAACTTATACTCCATTGCCTAAAAAAAAGCTTGTAATCCGAAGAAAAACTCAACTTCAATTAATAGATGTAAATCGTTATGATTTGTCTAAATTAGAAAATATAAATTATAAAGAAATCTATATCACTGATCCTATGGATAATCGTGTTAAACAATGGTTAAATATATCGCCTAAAAAAGCTTTGCATTTAACTTACCCGCTACTAAATAAAACTGTTGAAGGTAAATGGAAAGTACACGCTGTTATCGGACGTCATTTCAAAGAAACACTTGAGTTTACTGTGAAGCAATATACCCTACCAAAATTTATTATGACGTTAGAAACTCCAAAAGTTTTCAGTTTTGGTTCTGAGTATGTTCAATATTCAATCTGTGCAAAGTATACTAATGGACCACCCCTGAAAGGTTATGTAAAATCAATTCTATGCGCTTGTTCTGAATATATCTGGGATAGTGAATATTCTACGGGAAATGATGAAAACACTGTTGAATCACTTGTATTAACGCGTAAATGTCCATCAAATGGTTATGATATAAAACTTCGGCCATGTGTTGCACATAATCAAATATTACACACTGATGGTTGTGCTAGTTTCAATGTATCTACTAAAGAATTCGCCTTTTCTACAAATAAATATTATAAACAAAATCAAATCAGTATTTTATGCGCTGAAGTTGAAGAAGACGGTACTGGTTCTAAACTATACAACTGTTTAAAAGGTGATGAAATTAAAAGGGAACAACCAAATTTAAAGATGGAATTCCCGAGTGTATATAAATCAAAATTACCGATCACTGGAAAAGTGAAATTAATGCATTATGAAAAGAGTTTGAATTACAGTGTGAAAATATCTGTCTCTGAAAAGAAATCGCAGTGTTTTTGGAAAAATAATGAGAAAGGTACAGAATATTACGTCAATATTATACCATTGAATTCATTGAAGGAAGGTGTCATCCATATACCACCACTTCACTCTGAAAAGTCAATAATAATTGAAGCTGAATTACTGTTAATGTTTGAAGTACAATTACCTCTATCACAATTATCCTCAGTAAAGTCAACCTCTAAAGATGGAAGAGAAAATTTCTCAAAACAAATTAGTTTAGTAAAACATGTTAATTACCGTTTCTGGTCTGGTACACCGGGGTCATCACATGGCACTCCCCTAACTAATAGTGTGATATTAAGATCATGGGATTCAATTAGTAAAGTTTACCTACAGTTATGGCCATCGAGAGAGAAAATTTTTACAACATGCCCTAATACAGTAAAATTAGTTCTGTTATCAAACACACGTCTATCAGATAAAATCATTTTTATAGAATCAACGATAAGAGGTGAACATATGAAGATTGTGATACCAGGAGTTGATAAAATGCTGACCGACAACAACATCACTGATGATTGTATTGATCGTGATGATGAGTTAGGACATTATGTGTGTACAGGTATAAATCCAGAAGAGATTAAATGTTTACCAGGTTGGCAAGGTGAAAATTGTTTAGTGCCTATCTGTTCTTCACAGTGTAATCCTGAAGGTGGCCTGTGTATCAGACCTGATGAATGTCAGTGTAAATCAGGATGGAGCGGTGTCAATTGTGATCGGTGTATTGAGAGTAAAAATTGTTTATACGGTAAATGTGTACATGGAAATGATTGTGTCTGTGGAGATGGCTGGACTGGTTATAACTGTGATCGTAAATCCCTAGTTTTCAAAAAAATTACCAAAGAGAATGAATTCAATACTAAAGGTAGTGGAGTGAATTCAGCTGATGAATTGGAAGATTCTTTCATTCCTTCCACTACATCAATAAATTCATCACAAATGTATACGAAACCAGTTAGAACACTTTATCAACGACACATAGAGTTTACAATAAATGGATCATGGGGACCAAAATTTACAGCTATAATTTATATTCATAATCAACAAGATAATGCATCACCTGAGATTATTTCAACTCAATTAACTGTGGAACAAATTGAAAATTGTACAAGTAATGCAATCGCACTACAATCGAAATCGCATAAAAGTAGTATAGAATTTAGTCAAAATATTGCACATCCTGGTCAGAATATTCAAATGATCATTACTCCTCAAGGTGTGCTATCATCATCAACAGCAGCAGCAGCATCATTGTCGATAGATCAAGACAAAGGTTGTTATAAACTAACAGGAAAAAACTGCAATTTGAATAAAGGTCAATTGTCAAATGAGTTATGCTTCGTTAGAATCTCTGATAAATCACTAGATAACTTCCAAGATGATAAAAATTTAATTAATTTAAAATCTTTCACTGAAAAATTACTTGATTATGCTATGCAAAGTAGAATCCAGCCTTTTATAGCTACTTCAACACAAGAAGCATTCCAAGCTGCTGGTTTTCAAATTGGTTCAACGTATCCAGAGGCAATGCTTGTTCATCCTGTAAACGTCTGTCCTCAATTTTCACAACCGAGTATCCCAGGTGTCCTGTTCGACACTGGAATGGGTAATAACAACGTTGGTTCACAGTCACTTCGATTACTAAAAAGCATCGATGTACCAGAAAAACCACGATTAAGAGACTTCTTTCCTGAAGTCTGGTTGTTTCAAGTGTTACCAATCACTGATTTAAATATCAATCATGAAATTGACGCAAAGGCTAAAAACATAGATACTATTGAAATCAACAAATCAAGGGGTATACAATTAAATCTTACAGTACCAGATACTATAACAAGTTGGAGGGCATCAGCGTATTGTACAACAAAATTGAATGGTTTATGGATTGGTGAATCACAAACAGTCACTGTAAATAAACTTTTTTATTTGGAAATAACACCACCCAAAGAAATGAAACGTGGTGAAATTTTGCACATCCCTGTGAGTATGTTTATTCTGGATACAAAGTATTTACAATTACCAGAAAACTCAAACTTATCGCAATGTTATGAAGTCTTTGTTGATGTACAAGTAAACAATGATGAATGGTTAGTTGTCGGTACAACTAAGCATTCTGCTTGTTTGTGTTCTGGTGACAAGACAACTTATCTCGTTGGATTACAGGCAAAACGCTTAGGTAAGTTGAATATTACTGCTGAAGCATTGGCCATTAAGAATAGTCATTCATGTCATTCCATAGAATACAATGAACTTAAAATGCTTTAACAACCCAGTCGAATATATCAATCAATATGTATCAATCAAAGTTGCTAACTGATAAAATCCGTCACCATATCAATGTGATACCTGAAGGTGTTCAACATGAAACAACTATCAGTGATATTATATGTTTAAATGAACAAGAAAATCAATCAGAGCGCAAGTTTGAATTTGTGTTACCCAAAAATATCATCAAGAACTCTCTTCATAGTTATATATCATATAGTGATGAAGTATTAGGACCTGCTTTAGTCAACTTAGACAAACTTGTCCGCCTACCTACTGGTTGTGGAGAACAGAATATGGTACTGGTAGCACCGAATGTTTACATATTAGACTATTTAAAATCTACACCAATTACCAATGAGAATAAACAGAATTATATCGAAACAGCTAAATCACACATTATGTCAGGTTATATTCAACAGTTGAAGTATCAACGAGATGATGGATCATTTTCTGCTTTCGGTAAGTCGGACCAACAAGGCAGTACATGGTTGACAGCATTTGTACTCCGTGTATTTGCTAAAGCATATAAACTGGAGCCAACTTTAAATATTGAATGGGACAATCTATTCAAAGATGGTATAAACTTTTTAATAACACGTCAAAATATTAAGACTGGATGTTTTCAAGAACATGGAAAAGTTTTATATTCACCATTACAAGGTATAAGTGGAAGAGATGAATCCCAGTTGAAGGATATTCTACTTACCAGTTATGTTAGTTCAGCACTGTTTGAAATAAAACTAAATGATGCTGGCAATAATCGAAATATCATGTACACGAGTATAGCAAAATATGCATACACTAATGGAATGAAATGTCTAAGTCATTATCTTTTAAATCCTGAGTCGTATGATGAATTGCCGACTTCAGCGCTTGTACAAATCACTCACACTTATACACTAATTCAACCGAATTCTCAATTCACTATTGAATTACACGATAAACTAATGCAAAGAAAACAAGTTGTACAGGATCAATTTGGTGAAATGATTTATTGGTCAGATAGATTTGATAAATTTGCAACAGATACATCGAAGATACAGAATGAAATTAATAATAATATTAATAATGATAATAATAATAATATTGACAACATTGAACCACGTGATTTAGAGTCAACAGCTTATGCCTTTCTAAGTTTAAGTCGACTTCAACAACCAGTAAATGCTTTATTCCCAATTATACGTTGGATAAGTTCAAAACAAAAGTCAAACGGTGGCTTCTATTCAACACAAGATACAGTACTTGGACTAGAAGCGATAGCTGAGTTCTCTAAGATATTAGGCGTCCATAATCATAATAATAATAATAATAATGGAGAAGAAGGGGAAACAGATGCATCCTATGGCGTTCTTCAAATATCAAATCATGTGAATATTGGCAATTTTAAAATGAATGATTCAATAACCTTGGAAAAACGACAAGTTATCAATCAGATTGAATTACCATATCTTGAATTCAAAGATGATGTTGACGCTGGTGATAAAGTGATACATTCTGTTTGGAAATTAGCAAGTAATCAATCGATAAAAGATTGTATACTAGTACAGAATACCTTCATTTATAATTTACCTGAAATAGAAGATGTTAATACGAAATTTCAACTCTCCTACAATATAATAATACCAACAGATGATAGAGACTGTAAAACAGCTAAACTCTCAATGTGTTTACAGTTAAACTCTAGAATAAATGAAAAACCTATCAGTACAGGAATGTTATTGATACGTGTTGCTATGGTAACCGGATGGGAACCAATTGTTGAACAGCTGAATTCCCAGTTAAGCTCTGAGGATGATTCTTTAAAAATGTTGACTATCAATGATCAACAAAATGAAATTTCGCTGTATTTTAATGAATTTTCTGAAGAAGAAGCTAAAGAATTAGGGGACTGGAAACAGCTAAAACGATGTGTTAGCGTACCAGTCAATCAAGCCTATTATGTAGAAAATGCTAAGAATGCAACAATAACAGCCTATGAATACTACTCACCAGAAGAAAGTATTACTGTCACTTATCGATTAGATGATTATTGTAAAGAAGCTGGGGATATGGATAAAATGCTCCGCAAGACTTCAAGTGAACCAAAACCCATAACTAAGATTCCCTTTGAAGAAAATAACCTACTTAAAGTGAAAACTCTATGCCCTATATGCACAGATAAGGTGAATGACATTCAATTCCTTTTAAATGATATATATAATTCGATATGTCACAAATCCAATGGGCTATATTTTCTAAAAGTTCATGAAGTCAAAGATAACAGTATAAATACTACAATAACTCATCTAGTACAATCCAATGTTAAAATAACATGGAATACAATTTTACAAATGCCTAATTCAAATAAATGCCCTTGTCAAGTAATCAATACTCATCAAAATCTAGTTGTAATTTTTGATAAATTTGCTGAAATCTTACCAGGTGTTACTAAATTCAACATTGAAACATTGAGTAGACCTGCGAAATTTTACTCAAACAAAGACATACTACCTATTCTTGAGTTAGCAGCCTACAAATGGTCTAATAGTGAGAAAAAAGCAACATTAAATAATATTCTGACTGATGAATTGACTAGTAGTCAGTATTGTCAAGTATTACCTAATCTGATTGAATTTAGCAAGAAGATGAAATAATTTTATAATGAAATTTAACGCCGAAATAATAAAGGATATTCAGCTTTCAAATTTTTATCTCTTTTTTTTCTTTATCTTTTGAAAATGTATGTATCGCATCTTTTTATATTCACGCATTGTATTTTGATCATTAAAGCGGTTTTTTTAAATTTTAATAATTTAGTATACAGTAAAAGTTAATACTTTCAGAGGTATCAATACTGATTAATGCACCAATTTTTATTATTGATCTTCTATAGTAAAATGTGTTGCTAAAAAGAATAAAACTTTGTGTAAAGTGCAGTAAATACAGAACATTTTTTATAATAATATCAATTTGTTCTTAGACAGACTATTGTTTTTACGAGTTTGACAACGGATTGATATAATAATAATAATTTGCTTTATTCCAAAACAGTACTTGTGATACAGAATGGAATTCTCAGCACTTTACTACAGCATTGCATCCAGTTCGTACATAAACAATAAATAAAATTCAACATAGATTAAGGGCAATCTCAGTTAGTTTTGATAAGAAATTATTGAACAGAATGTTTGAAGGTTTTGGAAAAGTAGATGCTAGCATATTTACTGGCGTAAGCGGTAACAAAAAGGTCAAGATATACAGAGTGCGAAAGAAAGAAGAGGAAGGCTTTAAATAGAGTTTGTAAGGAAGAGAGAAACAAAACAGCATATACCAAAGAAAGAAAGGAAAGAAAGAAAACGTTGTACCTATAAATGATATGAACTGGAAAGACAAGATCCAGTTGTTCTACTGACTATTTAACAAGTTTTAGGTGTCACGCCTAATGCTTTCTTTATCGCACAGGACACGAGCCAAGTAGGGTATGGTTGAGTTTTTGTTCTTGCTAGTGCGAGCATATAGTTTTGTATATAGGCTTCTGGTTCCGCTTGATGAGATTTAAGGGGAGAGTTGTAAATGAAGAGGGTGGTGTGAGTTAGACAGAATGGTTTTAGCCCATTTTTCACATGAGTTCAAGTGTCTGTCGACCAGAATATCAACAAGCTGGTTAAAACTCACGTTGCTTACCCTGCTGACAACCTTTAACATCCTGCGTAATACGGTATAGTCCTTCTTCAGTAGCCCTGGTAAAACTAATGGGGAACAATAGAGAATAATAGGCAGGATGCAAGAGTTAACGAATTGTAGGAGTAAGGGTTGGGTTATACCAGAATGCCTTAACCTCTTGATGTAGAAGGTAAGACGGAATATTTTCTTAGAAATCATCAAGATATGCGACGACTAGGAAAGATCAGCAGATAGAATGACGCCAAGATATTTAATTTCCGACTTGGTCTCTATTTCAGCGTCATCTATGTTGCACACCTCGTGAGTGCTAACCAGTTTGTTTAGGTCAGATTTATGCCCAAATGTGAAATTGACTGTTTGGCATTTGGAGGGGTTTAAGGTGAGACAGTTTTCCTTGGACCATTGTCTGATTTCTGATAAAAAGCCATTTAGTTTGGAGCAGTCACTTTGACATTTGACAGGGAAAGATACAGTCAGGTCGTCAGCATATTTAACAAAACTAATGTCATTTGAATATGATAGGTCATGTAGGAAGAAGGAAAAGAGAAGTGGGGAGAGTACAGCACCTTGGGGGACACCAGCTTCAGTGAGCACAAAAGAGGAGGATTTACCTTTGTATACAGTGTACTGCATTCTGTTTGTCAAGTAGGAATGCAACCAGTTTGTGTCCCAGGATTCAGTTTGTGTCATCAAGAGACATCTGGGTACAGAGTCGAAAGCAGAAGTGAAGTAGAGAAACGTGCAGCGAACGTATTTAGCACCTTTATCTAATGATGAGACGATACTGTTGTGTAAGACGGCTGCAGCATCTAAAGTGCTCCTGTCCAATCTACATGCAAATTGTTTTGGGTCTTCGAAACTTTTAAGGGAGTGTTCAAGTTTAAGAAGTATTAGTTCTTCCATAAGCTTTAGAAACGGGGAAGTAATGGCAATGGGTCTGAATTTTACGTTCTTGCTATTTACAGGTTTAGGGACAGTAACTGTTTTATTGTCTTTCCATGCAACAGGTACAATGTTTTTGGAAAAAGAAGCATTTGGGATGTTAGTAAGTGGAGAACATAAAGCATCGGCACATTGTTTTAGAACATAGACAGGTACACCATCAGGGTCAAGGCTACGTGAGGGCTTAAGCATATTAAGACATTTTAGAACATCGAGAGTATTAAAATCATGAAAGTTATCAACTGCGTGATTTTTAACACTAGAAGTAATTATAGTAGAAGGAGAGCGTATAAAAAATTGATTAAGAGCGTTACCATCACAAGAAGGGAAAATATTGCTTCAGTTACTATTGCCAGTAATTTCATAGAAAAGTTTCCACATGCTGATAGGAGATTTGCATGATAAAAGTGTATGGTTATACATAGCATTAAGATTTTTGATTTCAGATTTGATTTGAGCATTAATCTTTTTAAGTCCTAATTTATCTTTGGATTCATATGATGTTTCTTTTGCCTGCGTAGTTGTTTGAGACGAGGAAACAAAAAGCGATCGAAACTTTTGAATAGTGTTTGTTTAGGACAGCATATATCAAGGCAGAACTTAAGATAGTCCGTTATATTGGCGATTCTGTCATCTAATGTACTTTCATTGAATAAATCCTATTTAGTAATTTTTAACATGCACCTTAGATTGAGTAAGTTGTCAGATGTGTAGCATCTTTGTTGTGCTTTCATAGACAGGTGTGAGAAGACTTTAATATGTGTTTCGCTGTATATTTTTCGTAAAACGCGAACAATACAGTGATCAGAGTTACGTATCGGTGAACCTTTACGTGTTTCATATACTCCGTCATTTGTAAAAACTAAATCGAGTGTCTTGTCAAGTCGAATGAGAAATATGGCTATGTTTGTGTGACCAAGTACTTCAAGAAAGGAGCACTCTGGGGAGTTGAAATCCCCAGTTATAACAGATAGGGAGTTGTCGAAGTTGGCAGCGGCAAACATGGTGAATTTGTCAGCGAAATTTGAAAGGTCAGATAATAAGCAAGTGAAAGAAATGTACATGTTTGTAACAAAGATATGTTTATATTTGAGGAGATGTTTGGGATGACATTTGACAGTAATACAGTCTATGAAGTCATTTGAGAATGAGAGGCAGACATTATTTGAAATAGACCATTTGCAGTGAATAAAAGTTGAAACTCCACCACCATTTTTCTCATTACAATATTGACTGTCTTGTCTAAATAATACGAAGTCCTTTGGGGAAACAAGGTTGTCATCATGCAGTTCATGTAACCACGTTTCTTGTAATGTGATTGTGGCAGTATTATGATAAGTGTCAGTGGACATCAGAGATTGTAGGTACATTAACTTGTATGGCAGAGAGAGGCAGTTTGTGTTCATTATGACACGGACCGTAGTTAAGTGTACTGGTGTACGTTTGAGAGCTCTCTGCCAACCACTATAATGCTTCCTCCTTGATTTCTTTGGAATATGAAAGTCATTTGGTCGTAAATGATTAATAAATTTACAAGAGTAAATGATTCTGTTAGAATTCATATTTAGGTGATAAATAAATATGAGTAAACGATAGGATGGATGCAATATGTAGATAGTATAATAGCTGGCCCCAAAATTCGAACAGGCCGCCAGGTCAAGGTCAATAGAGAAGCACTGAAAACCAGCAGGAAGTACTAGACAACCAGTTGTTTCATCCTAGTTCGGGACTCTTCCGCAGCAGTATGCACCCACCACATGGGGTTCGAATCCAGAACCTTCCGGTTAGCAGGCGAGCTCGTATACCATACCAATAGTGATTGGGACCCGATTCATTGACCAGCCAGCCCATGAATTCAAACTTCTACCAATTCGTGATTTAGCGCGACCACCAACCAATCAATGTCATCGGTGGGAAATCCATCCTCATTGAGTGCGTACTGCCGATGATTCACAAACTAAGATGAAACAACTGGTTGTCCAGTACTCACTGCTGGTTTTCAATGCTTCTCTAACTGATATCAATCCGTGTTCAAACTCATAAAAATAAATCTAATCCTTACAAACCAAGTGTTGGAAATCGAAGTATCCAGTGAAGGTGCTGCATACTGGTGAGGCAATGAAAGCTTCACTAGTAAACCATCCAGCCCAGAGAACACATCTACATCAAAATCATTCACCTGAAAGGCGAATCTTCTCCATTATATATGGACACGTAACTATTTTTAAATTACAATTTGTTATTTTTCCAAATCCGGTTAGAATGGAAGTATTAATGCGACATTAGCAATTTGAAGAGGAGTGCTGCATGAAAATTATTTCACTTTACAGTCCTTAATTGTACTGAGTAATGAATGAGCGGAAGTGAATTACTGGTCTCTGGATTGACTAACCTCACATTCTATCAGTCTGTCTAGAAGTCCAAAAGCTAACCACTGCAATTCTCATTGCATCTGATTAGTTCCTTCATGCGTGAATAACCTAGTTGGCAATTTGGTTTCACTGTTCATTCAACAAGGTGCTGAGGTAGTAATCCAGAGGACACCTTACGAGATTCTGCCACATTCATGTAATTGATTCCACCTTCAGTTATCACTGATTACGCCGTTATCAATTTACCTATCTTGGACTATTTCACACAAAGCTTTTTAGAATAAATTCCTTTAAGTTCCTAGTGGGAAATATGGCATCGAGCAATAGGCTTCAAATTTTAGTAGCAGCGGTGTTTATTTCCACAGTATAGGGTCGCCAGCCTCACGCCCAACCTTCAACCCTCACCAGTCTTATTACTGGCTTCGCGAGGTTAGTGGGGTGCGTCTGAGGCTGGGGATAGAACTTTGAATCACATGAGGCGTGGATGGTGAGCATTTTACCACTGTGCCACTGATGCACATTTTACGCAAAGTCACTTACTATTCTGAAACAACTTGCATATTTAAATCGTGTTACGCCGTAACAGTCAGTATTTGGTGTTAATTTATACCAGATGAGAAGTTATACAAACAAACTATTTTTAGTGATTATATATT